TATATATATGATGAAACCCCACAGGTATTAGGTAAGACATCATTTATTACAATCACTATTATAGTCAATACACATTACAATCTTTACTATTCCTATTCCAAGATATTGACTTGGACGTCGGAGGGTCTTGCGCCGGAGCAATTCCGGCGTATTTGCAGGTAACGACGAACTCACGAGCTTGGACCGCACCAAACCGGTAGATCCACGTTCAAATCGGAAGAAGACCATTCAGAAAACTGGAGTCACTCATCTCGGACCATATCACTAATTAATTAAGATTGATAGATAAAATTATTTGAAAACTAGAATTGAAGTTAACTAGTTGAATTGAAATTATCATTGACGGATAAATTAGTTTTTATTTACAAAACTAAATATAAAAATAATTATTTTATTTTATAAATGAAATATGCATTTCGAATCGAATAATCATAAGAAAATTATTAATTTGATACATAATGTATAAAAAATGACAAAAGATAAAAAAAAAGTTATTAATGATGTTAAACATTATAAGGTTAATTGCACGAAACCCTTCTGTTGAATTAATAAAAAATATATGATAAGAGTATTTGCTAAACTAATTTTTTTATTTAAAAATTTTGATGGACTAACTGATGAAAAAAAAAAGGATGAATAGACAGTGCAGAAAATAATTTGTATATTGTAATTTAAGAGAGAAATATGCAAGAAAATTATAATATGGTAAGATTGCTACTTATCCAAAACTAATAAGGAAGTGTGGACTAAGAGAAAAAAATAACAAAGTTAAATATACACTTACAAGTTTGAAAAAAGTTATTTATGTCTAACACCAAGCTTAACTCCAGAGCAAAAAATGAATATATAAACAACATTATGAAGTATAGATTTTCACCATGTCAGCATCCGAAGTGTGAGAATCTGCCACTTAGGCTCAACATGTTTCGAATTAATATATAGAGAGGGGTACCTTCACCTATGTCGGAACTAATCATATGATAGTTTACATTGAAATGTTTATTATTGACATACAAAATTTCGAAATCTGATGGACTTAATCTTGGATAATTCAAATTTCAAGGCGATTATTATTATCATTCTTTTTTTGGAAAATCTATTTTATATATTTCAAAAAGTACTTTAAAAATTGAAATACCATAGAGATAATTTTCGATCGATCACTTAATGTATAAAAGAAATATGATCAAATTAATAAATTAAACACTTCGACAAGGCAATAATGTTGGGAGCAGGGGCGGACCTAGGCGAAGGCCTATGGGGGCACGGGCCCCTATGCAATTTTTTTAAAAAAAATTAGTATATATATAATTATATTGCAAAATAATTACAGAGAGATTTCTTAAAATTTAAGTTGTTTGCATTTTGTATTTGTAGTATGTTGTAGACAACATGTATAGTTGAGTTACATCAATTTTTCACAAAAGTCAACATTGATTTTGATACATATTGAATTTTAGATGTTCTTAAAATTATAATTATAAGCTTAAAATTAGCTACTAATTGCGTTTATCATTGATTTTTTAACTAATAAAATATTTATTTTTATTATAAAGAATCCACAAATGTTGACGTTTAAGAATATCCAATGCAAAAGAAAAAAATGTTGGTATTTGAAAAAGATATATTTAATGAGATTTGAATTTATGTAATTATAAATGAGATAATATATAAGAACATACAGAGAATAAATATTATTTTTCTTTTGTAATTTGTAAAAGTTACATTTGTGCCACTCAGTCTTACGAGTCTGCGTCTGCCCTCGTTTGGAGATATGATTTCTATACATATGTAATCCTCTTATCAATGGGTTTGTCATTTGAATTTGTTAATATTTCTCCAAGGCATTTCAAAACTTAATTTATGTGGCAGCGGGATATATGATATTTGTGGAGAGGCACACCACCTATTTTTCCTATCTGTCAAAACAATCTTATTAAAATAATATGTCTTATTTGGCAATCAACGGTTAGTGTTTAGCTATTAGCGGATTATATTAACTGTTTTGACCAGCGGTTGTATTAACTGATTTGATTGGCGGATTACATTCGCGGATTGTGCTAAAGCATTTGGTAAAACTAATAAATTGATGTTAATAAGTTGAATATAATAATAATGTGAATAAATATATAAATACTCAAATGATAGTAGTAATCTATTACTTATAATAGCAACTAGTGAAAATCCCGTGTGATGCACGGGGGTTTCGTATCTTAGAATATTTTTTAAAGTTTTATTTTAATTAGCATGCTGACCCATTTATTTAAATAGATAATATTTTAACATATACATTTATTTTTAATACAGATAAAAACACAATTTTACATATTTTGGTTCATCATAATACTCAAATATTAGTTTATTAAAAAATTTATTGTCCTATAATGCCATTATTATTTATAACACTTATAGAAGTAATATTATTTTTTATATAATGATAAATATTTATATTAATATTATATATTGATGTAATTAATTTAAAAATATATCAATAAATTTAATGTTTGTTAGGAATGTGATTATATATAGGGTAAGATAAAATGGAATGACCTGAATTGAACAAACCCACCATTTAAGGGAGCATTTAATGCTGTCTAATTTTATCGTAAAAAATTCAAAAACTTTCCCAAAGTCATATGCAATTAATTTTGGCGGATTTTTTTGCTTACTATTTCTAGTAAATGGTTATTCTTATTATATATATATATATATAAGAAAAAATATAAAAAATAGCATTACAATTTCCCGCTCAAATTTTCATTTTTTACTAATAATGGAAGTATATTTTGAAATTTTTTGGATTCTCCCATCCATCACATGTTTTCAAATTCGAAATTAATTTCACCAAATCACTATGTATCCGATCAAAATCCTAAATCTATATATCCGGTCAAAGCCATAAATTTGTTATATATGTTTGAAGATTTATGTATTTTAAAAAATGAAAAATGAAATATATATTTTACATATTTTATATATATCTGGTCAAAGAATACTATATTGAAAAGCATCCTATAATAATTGATTCGACAAAATATTTCAATATATTAGAATTCTTAATCATCAATTCTTTTAATTTATTTATTTATTTTTTTTGAAATGAAAATTTTTGAATTAAATAAATTCTTATAACATGTACAATAAATAAAACAAATTTACCTTTTAAGAATTCTATCTATAGTTAACAATCTAATCTCCTTATGTATCTAACAACTTACCTAAACAATTTCAAAATATTAAAATTCTTAATCATCAAAATATTATTTTACATTATGATTTTCAAATTAAAGAAATCCTTATTAACTAAAATCCTTAATTGTTAAATATTGTTTTATCTATATTTATCTATCTAAAAATTTTATATTTGTTCATATTTATTTAACTACAAAATCTTTTAAAGTTTAGAGAGAATCTCATATTATGTGGGTCTTGGTACATATTTTTTTTGTACATATCCATTTTTCATCTCATATCCCAATTACAAATTTTAATTCTAATCTTGAATATCTCATATTTATTTTATATATATATACATATAATCAAGAAGCATGACGGTCATATAATTAATTTTATATATATCATGTGTTGGATGTTATTGGTTTGGTTGGGGACACTCATTATATTCAAATAAATAATACATAATTTGTCATGTTTTGTATTTCTTTTCTTACAACAATGAGATGTTAAACATAAATAATTATGTTTAATATAATGTTTTAGAAAATGTCTTAAGTAAAAAGCTCGTCCGTGCATCGCACGGGATACACACTAATAATAATAGTAATACTAATAATAATAATATTTTGTAATTTATAAATTACTAATAAGAATATTTATAAATTTTAATAATGTTTTTAGTATACTTATGTAAAAATTCACATAATTTGTAATTTTGAAAAAATTTAATAAACATAACAACACAAATTTTATTCTTTATGCTCGAAACTTTTTGATTGACAACCAAAGTCTTAATAAAACAAAAAGTAAATAATTATCTTATAGAACAATAAATTATTTTTATCTTATTTAATTTCTTAATACTAAAAGTAAATACTTCTATATCGATTTTGAAAACCTATCATTTACATTACATAGACACATGTTACTTGACCTTTTAAAAGACTATAAAGTAACGATAAAATTAACCAACTTATCATAATTCTTAAGCATATCCGTCAACCAAAAATACTCTGATATATAATATAATACCGATTCGAACCCTTAGAGGGAACCACACAGTCCGGCTAGGTCAACTGAGGAGACCATATTCGACCTAAACAAGAACAACAACGAGGTCGATTTGACCTCACCATACTCGATAATGGAGCCGAAGGTCAGGATGTGTCAAATTGAGTTTCGACCCGAAGATTCGACCTCGTAAGAGGGGCTTTGGGTATCTATTTGGAAAACCACGCCATGAGACGATTAGACCACGTGTCACGAGAGGATTGAGCCGTCTGCACCCCTGACAACTAATAAAACTGAGGCACTGCAAGCACTGTAGATCATACGGACGGGCAGCAGGGGCAGGTCAACGCCCCAGGCAAACTTGGAGAACAAGTTATCATTTCCCTATATAAAAGGAAATGTTTCCCTATATAAAGGGAAATGAGAGGTTAGTTTTTGGGTTACATTCTCTGCATGCCCTCATTTACTTAATACATTGTTCATCATCTCAGATTATCTCAAATTATTGCTGACTTCAGTATCAGAGTCTTTTCACCGAAAAACCTGTAGGTGTGGAGTTGTTCAAGATTGAAGAATGAGTTGTACAAGTCGAAGAGGCTGTTTTACCACTGCAATATCTCGAACCAAGACGGAGTGAAGTCTATTTCACTATTATACTCTATAGCTTCTTCATTTTCAGTGTCTGGCTCAATCCTCTGATATTAAAAGCTGCTCAACCAAACACATTTTTTTTTTTTTTTTTGTNTTTTTTTTTTTTTTTTTGGCGTTTTAATTCGTTCAAAATCGATATTTATAGCGTTTGGGCAAAACGGTCGGAACCAAACGCCCCTTAGTTATTTGCAAAAAATAGGCACTTTATTTTAGTTGTAAAATTGTATTTAGAAAAGCAAAACAAATTTGAAAATATAATACTGCAAAGGACAAGACGGTGATATCAGCTGTAATCAGTGGCATATAATTATTGTTCCACCTATATAATGGGCCTAATACCTCATGATTTCTTTCACGTTGAGAAAAACACACACAACGTGTATAGAAAAGGAATTACAGAGCGTTACGTGTCCTAGGGTTTCAGCTTCTTCTTCCGCAGCCGCAACCACACAAAGCTTGTTAGTGACCATTTTCTTCTCTTGCATTCTGTATTAACGCATAGTTTTTGTGGTGTTTAATTTTCGTTTGCTTCTTTTGTTTTGTTTTGTTTTGTTTTGCAGGATTTGTCCTAGGTCGTCGATTTACGTTTTAAGGGTGACTGTTTACGCCGAAGCCTAAATCTTTATTGATGTAAGTGTGTAATCTTGATGTTTTGTCGTGGTTTTGATGTTTGAATTATCAATGTCTTTATTGTATGTTGAAATTGGTGCTTCTGTAAGTTGAAATGAAAAATGCTATGTTTTGCCTAGTCTATTGTTTTTTTCTTGGGTGTGATATATGTTCAGCATTTGCATAATTTGTTTTATGTTAATTGATATGTTGTGCCATCATTTATGTTGTTGATTTATTGGCTATTCGAATTTTGGTTAAGAAGTTGTAATAATGGAAGATGATTAAAGCGACATCAGCTGTTAGAATGTTTTTTATTTTGATGATAGGGTGATAAAATGTTTGGCCTACATAGATCTAAGATTTTCTTGTATTTCAGATCTGGATTTCTGGGAATACTGATAAAGTTTTCTGCTTGTGGTTTTTATAACCGATTGAAATTATACTCTTGTCTTGTTTGTCTTTCTGTTATTTATATTGTAGCCAAGGGTTGTGATGTCCGCTTTTATGCCAATTTGGATGTAATTATTTCTTTCAAATTGTTTCCTTAATTGATTCCTTGTGTGAAATATGGTACCTTTAAAACAAATTGATTCTCAGATCCTTTATAATCCTATGCAAAATAAATGATTAACAACTGTGTATAATTGAAAGATTATTATCCGACTATGTACTCTGTAAATGCTCTGTCGGTTGCTCATAGCTCCTGCTTGTAATTTTGTAGTTATTATGCTCCTTTCCTCATTTCTTTTGTTGAATTCTTCTTCAAGGTAGTATTTTACTTCATTTTCAATATCATCGTATAATATTCCTCCTGCTAAGAGTTATATTTTGTGGCGTGTGCTTTATTTGTTACTTGTTCTTGGTTAAACGCATCAGACATTTGCATATGGTATCAACCATCTTTTGCTTGGTCCTAATTCCTTCGACTGGTCATTTTTCAGAAAACAAATTCATGATCTAATGGAGTCAAAGGGTGGGAAAAAGAAGTCCAGTAGTAGTAAATCCACATTCTACGAAGCTCCCCTTGGATACAGCATTGAGGACATTCGACCAAACGGAGGCATCAAGAAGTTCAGATCTGCTGCATACTCCAACGTAAGTTACATCATCCCTGTAATAAGTACATTCAGTGATTCTTAACTATCTGCTTAACCAAAATAAAAAAAAAAGTATTATAATGATAATTTCATTTATCCTTTGCAGTGCGCTCGCAAGCCATCCTGATACTCCTAAGCTATCCCCCGAATCACGTCGTTTGGCGTGGTGAAATCAATTTACTGCTTTAAAATTTTACTGCTTTCTAGTTTTTTTTTTATTTTTTTTTTATTTTCTTTTTTTAGCTTTTGGCCTGCACTCCTTTTCTTCATTCTCCATCAGCCACCTCATCTGCTGTCTGCTGTTGTTTTGAGCATATACTTGTCTCGAAATGGCTCTTTCTGCATCTGCAATCGGTTTCGAAGGATTCGAAAAGAGGCTCGAAATCTCATTTTTCAAGCCCAACATCAATGCCGACCCTGAAGGAAAGGGATTGCGCTCCCTTTCCAAATCACAATTGGACGAAATTCTGCGCCCTGCCGAATGTACCATTGTAGCCTCACTATCTAACCAACACTTGGATTCATATGTCCTTTCCGAGTCAAGCCTCTTTGTCTATCCTTATAAGATCATCATCAAAACTTGCGGGACAACAAAATTGCTTCTTTCAATCTCGCCCATTCTGAAATTGGCCGAGTCACTTTCTCTTTCGGTTCAAACCGTGAAATACACACGTGGGAGTTTCATCTTCCCCGGGGCCCAGTTTTACCCCCACCGTAACTTTTCCGAAGAAGTTTCTGTCCTCGACGAATATTTTCGAAATCTCGGCACAAGCAAGGCCTACGTTATAGGAAATTCTGACGAATGCCGTAAATGGCACGTGTACTCGGCCTTTGCCACGTCAGTCGAAGCTTCTTCTTCAGACCCTGTTTACACTCTCGAGATTTGCATGACTGGTTTGGACAGGAACAAAGCTTCTGTCTTTTACAAACGAGAATCGAGTTCGCCTCTTCTCATGACTAAAACCTCTGGCATACGAAAAATCTTACCCGAATCTGAAATCTGCGACTTTGAGTTTGAGCCGTGTGGATATTCCATGAATTCCATTGAGGGAAGGGCAATTTCGACCATTCACGTCACGCCGGAGGATGGTTTTAGCTATGCGAGCTTTGAGGCGGCCGGGTATAATTTGAAGCTCGTGGGTTTTGAACAGCTGGTCGAGAGGGTATTGGCTTGCTTTAACCCGAGTGAGTTTTCTGTGTCTGTGCATGTCGAGTTTGGCGGGAAGTTGGTTGAAGATTTTTGTGGGCTGCTGGATTTTAATGGTTATGTTTCTGATGAGATGAGTCTGAAGGAGCTGGGATTTGGTGGGTCGATTGTGTACCATAAGTTTGTGAGGGCTAAAGCATTTTGTGGGTCACCCAGGTCAACTCTCAAGTGTTATGGGGGTGAGGATACTGAAGAAGAGGAAGAAAAGGAGTAGCATTTATCGGTTATTTTTTATATTTTATCTGCGTGGAATAAAATTTATGGCAATGCTGTTTGGTCATAAACAATCTATTTGGTTTGTGCTGTGTGTTTTTATTTTGTTGTGTTTTATTTCTGGACTTACTATGTTGCTTTGTATTATCGGCCCTTAGTTTTGGGTCTCTGCTTTTATGTTGCTGAATAAATGTTGAACTTGTTTTGATTTTATGTAATATATTATATTGTTTGTTTGGATATGAAATGTTTTCAGTTTCATTGATAAAAACAAAAAACCTTGCTTAATATTTGCTTAATTCCACATCATACCAAAAGCAAATTGATAGCGTGTATGGATGCCAGCCTGTATCCAATAACAAAACAATGTGACAATATTTGCTATATTCTGTGCTAAGAAAGATCCAACTCCATTAAATTTCATAAATTTTGTTCTTGAAGGGAAGCCTCAGAGTTTTGTTCTTTTCGTATGTCCTGAATCTAGTATCTGAGTTTATATATTATTAGGATGGTTGGGTATTCATTATGGTTGTGAAAACGTTTATTTTATTGTTTGTTGAATGAATTGCCTATGAAATCCATGAGTGGAACTTTTTAATTTTCTGCAATATGAATTTTCCATGTTAGGAGATTTCCATTTAACTTAATTTGTAGATAAGTTTATTCTTTTAGATTTTCATTTAACTTGATTTCTAGATAGAGTGCAAAAAATGTGTGAATTGGGAGTAGATAGAGTGTTAAAAAAAGTGTGGGATCGGGTGGCATCCATTGTCTACCACAAGTTTTTGAGGGCTAATAATATAATTTTTTTTGGTTTTGTTGGATTTTTTTGGTTTGGTGTGGTTAATTTTGAAAAAAAAATAAAATAAAATGGTATGATTAGTTGTTAGTGGGTATATTAAAATAATATTTAAAATAAAATAACTAAAATTAATTTGATGTGAAAGTATGATATAGATGATTTGAAGTATAACTCCACCAGTAATGTCTATAATCCCTTATTTCTTCTAGCGTGAAGTGAAATTAAGCACCACTAGTTACAGTTTGAAGCACTTTGTAATGATAAGCACCATTAGTTACATTTTGGTGTATCGGTCTTCGCTTTTAGAACTTAGCCTACATTTGAGTCTTTTTTTCATTGCCCAACTTGCTTTCTAGGTCTAATCTCCCTTCTCCATTTAATATAAATGCTAAATTCATAATATTATTGAGTTTAATGTCAGTTATATATACCTAACTTACATAATTTATTTAAGTTGTTCCTAATCATACGTGTTGCTATTCTGAACTTTGGAATAACAAGTAATAAACTTCCATTTCTACATCAACTGCCAATTATCATTGTAATTTGGATAATCTCGGAAGCTTATGTGATATCTCGATCGAGCTGTGAAAACAAATCTTGATAGTATGCTTTAATCCTAAACCCGATTCATGGTAACTTTGGGCTGCGTGATGTAAGTAGTGTTTTGTAAAATATATAAAGATCATTTGAGCATAAAATAAATAAAGAAAATAAAATAAATGTATGATAGGAAAAGAAGCAAATGAATGAAAAGCTGTTAATCTTAATTTTTATGAATGGTTTAACTTTTATTTTTTGATGATTTGGTTTTAAACTTTTATGCCCTTCAAAAAGAGTAAATGGCGTGTTACACCTACATATATTAATTATTCTTTCTCTCTTTCTTTTTTTTCATCATCTTTTGTTTTTCTTTCGCTTCTATCTTCTTCGTTCATGGTTTTTATTTAATTACTTTTTTTGCCTAAATTTAATGGTAGGTGGATGACGATCGTCTGATTTGTGAATACCGTTCCAAATTAAAAAGGTGATCGTCGTTACCTCTTTATGCAAAACGGTGGACACTCGAGTGTTTCTTTTTTAAACGTTGGGTTCAATTTTTGAAGCATTTCTGACACACACATTAAATTGTTGTCGGGCCCCCCTTTATTGACTTGTGCCCATACACGCTAGAGCTCGTATGGACAAAGTGGGGGAAGTATTATATATAGCATAGAGAGATCGATATCATGCACTGGAGCTCTTGCATAGCTCGGTTCTAGACCAGAGCTCCCTTAGCTCGACTTAGGAGAGAGTAGGTCGAAGTAGGTTTCCTGAGGGCGGCAGGTCGAGTTATTGACCTATGGCTTACGTACCTGAGACCTCGTCAATTAAGACGTTAAGGGTGACTTATTTAGGTCAACCTAGTAAACGTGTAAAGACATTAACTGCGTGACATCTAATGAAAGTAGGATTGTGAATATCTTGAGAATTTGATTGGAAGGAGGTCTATTACAAGAAGGTATGTGTATATCTGGTTCCTTTGAGGAGATAGAACTCATGGGCAATAAGGTTACCGTTCTCATATATATATAAAGGTGAAGGTATTATGGTTATTGTTACATTAAATTCACTATTTATGTACATTACATACGAGAGACTGACTTGATCGTCGTCTCAACGTTAGGAACCCTCCCATAAACTTTTCAAGTACTTGCGCGAGAAGGTATATCATGATTCGGAGATCCAAAAAGAGCCGTCAATACAAACTGGAGTTCTTTAGTAGATCCCAATCACCAAATAATTAAATAATATGATACCATACATGACCAATTAAGGAAAGAGAAGTTGTTATGATTCCTCACAAAAAAAAAAAAGACTACTTGTTTGTATCAACTTTGTGATTATTACAATCGGCCATTTACATAGCTCAACTTTGTGAATTAAGGAACATGTGTACAGCATAGCAATATCATCATAGCCAATTAAGGGATCCAAAGAAGTCAAACAGTTTGAACAAGGTCAACGCTCATGATGATGTCCAAAAATGCACGTGTTGTGGAGTACAAAACCCAGAAAGGAACACATTGGCTTGAACCAATTTATATATGCCTCTTCTAATCTGACCCTACACCTTACTTTATGTGCCAGAAATGTACAGTATTTCTAACCTCAGCCTACAACTCTCCATCTTATGAATTTGGTAAACCGTACATTATAAGATCCTTTAGTTAGTATTATCATTAATTTTATTTATTCACTAACTTTAAAATGTGAATGTTTCCTTTAGTTAGTATTATCATTAATTTTATTTATTCTGCAAGAGGCACTATATTTGGTTAGTTTAGTCTTTAAATTTCAAGATTTAATGCAAGTGACAATTCGGAATGTTTGGATTCAGACATATGATAAACTGAAACTCAGGAAATTATAAAAAACCCAATGCATGTTTAGTCCCAATACGCATGTCCTCTTCTTTGCACCTCATCCAAAGCAAAATTATCTCCACATAAATAATTTCAATTAAAGGTCCTCTTTTGATTTTCTTTATTTTTTATATCCGACATTTGCACATTAATAATTTCAGTTTGTTATAAAATTACTTTAGTCAGTAGTCACGTCAAGACCACTTTGCATATTTAAACTATGGAATTGCAATAANTATATATTTTCTTTTCTTTCTACTTTAGCTGACAAGTGGTGGGCATGTTACTATAGCTCACTTTTACTCTTTTACTACAAAACTTGTTCTTTCTTTTTAGGCCTGACACAATTAAGCTGTGAGCCATTGCTGTTCTGAAATTGCATAGCTTCACAAGTTTTTAACTATTTTCATGTGATGTTATTTTTTCCATTTTCAGAAAATGTGATCATTTGAGAATATTTTGCTACCAACTCCAGAAAATTCTGATCACAATTCTTCTCTTTCTTTTTGTGTTTTAATTTCACTGCCCTGTTTCCATTCTGGAAATTATACTATTTTCTTATATTTTTATATGAATTTCTGAGTAAATGAAGATTACAAGAGAAGAATGTGTTTTGTGGTTTGTTGCTTTTATAACCTGCTGGGCTTATAGCACTGCTTTGCTTACACCTAATGGTGTCAACTATGAAGGTTAGTTTTTCTTAGCTTTAAAAATCTGTTACAAATAGTTTCTACATTCAACTTCTCTTCAATTTTTACAACATTCATCAATAATTTCCTTGCCAGAAAAGAATAAATATAATGAATTTAATGAAGAGAATTTGGCTTGGCATCTAATAAAACTGCATGTGGGTACTTTATTTATTTATTTATTTATTGCAGTGCAAGCTTTGATTGATATACAAAAATCTTTGAATGATCTTCATGAAGTCCTTAATTGGGATGAAAATGCTGTTGATCCATGTGGTTGGGCTATGGTGGGTTGTTCACATGATAATTTTGTTATTACACTGTAAGTTGATTGATACTTAAATACAATTTTTAATTTGTTTGACCATTTTTTTTCCACATAATTTAGATGGAAAGTAGAAAATGAAAAAAAAAAAAAAATGCAAGTAATTTGGTTATAAGTATATGTTTTATTTTAGAGTCCTAATTTTGCAGAGCAATCCCAAGCCAGGGTTTATCAGGCACAATATCGCCTAGTATTGGGAATTTGACACATCTCACAAGTGTGTAAGTAATAGTAACAATATTTTGTTTAAAAAAATATAAAATTTAAATTATTTACATAAATATTTATTGTTGAAATTTGCAGGCTCTTACAGGATAATAATGTAACAGGGCCAATACCAGCAGAATTGGGAAAACTACCAAAACTGCAAGCAATTGATCTTTCAAATAACTTGCTAACAGGACAAATACCCAATTCTTTATCTCAACTTAAGACCCTGCAATACTTGTAAGTTGTAAGAATTATATAAAATAAAATAATTTTCCAGAACATGAAAATGTTGGCTGGTAACCACTGATGTGTCTATTTCCCTTTTTTTTTTTTTTAAATCTGTTGTTTATTTTGTTGTTGAAAACAGGAGATTAAACAATAATAGTCTCACTGGGGCTATACCTATGGCTTTAGGCAACCTGACTCAGCTGACTTTCATGTAAATATTCTAAATTATTTAATTCTTTCTTATAGTAACCCAATTATTTGATTCCAGACTTTATCAAATTGATGTAATTTGTGATGTTTGTTGTCTCAGGGACTTGTCCTTCAATAATTTGAGTGGGCCAGTAGCAAGACATCTAGTCAAAACATTCAAGTATAATTTCCCTAAATTACTATGGGAATTTTTATTTTTTAGTCAGAAAATTTTTTAATTTCCCTAAAAACATTCATAAATTGTAATGACAGTGTTGTAGGAAATCCAATGATATGTGCAACTGGGAAAGAGCCAGACTGCAATGGGACTGCACCAGTGCCTCTAACTATATCCCAAAATATTTCACAATGTGAGATTTTTATTCTGTCTTATTTAATTACTAAAAAATCTTTTCAACATAGACTACTAATGAAAAAAAAATAATAACATTTCAAAGTCATGAATTTTTCCAATAACTGAGTACTAAAATTTAACACTTCCTTTAATTTGTGTCCTGAAGATCCTATGCCATCAAGAAGGCCAAATAGTCACAAATTTGCATTGGCCTTTGGGACAAGCCTTGGTTGCATCTTCCTGTTGATACTTGGATTTGGCTTCTTCATCTATTGGAGACACAAGCTCAACAAGCAGATCTTTTTCGACATTAATGGTAAAGAAAGAAAGAAAGAAAATTGGTGTCTAAATATAAACAACCAAACCTCATATATCCCACATTTTTTTATTAATTTTCCAGAACAACATGATGAAGAAGTGAGTTTGGGGAACCTAAGAAAGTTCGAATTCCGGGAGCTTGAGAGCGCGACACACAACTTCAGCAGCAAAAACATCCTTGGCAAGGGCGGATTCGGAAATGTGTACAAAGGTTGCCTAAATGATGGCTCCATTGTGGCTGTGAAAAGGCTAAAGGACGTTGATAAGATTGGAGGGGAGATTCAGTTCCAGACGGAGGTTGAGATGATCAGCCTTGCCGTGCACAAAAACCTTCTCCGCCTCTATGGCTTTTGCGTCACCTCAACCGAGAGGCTTTTGGTGTATCCTTACATGCGTAATGGAAGTGTTGCTTATCGTCTCAAAGGTTGATCCCAAAGCACCCATTGCTGCTCGGCTTAAGGCTATGTTTGGTGGTCAAATAAACTTGTTTATACTTTATTTGGTTAGCTTATAAGCTATCTGTATTCAAATAAGCCTCGTTTGGTAGGACAGTGTTTTTTAGAAAGTTTGAGCTTATCTCATAAGCTTGTTTAGGTAGTTTTTTAAATAAGCTCATTGAAAATTTCATTTCAACTAGCTTATCAGCCAATTTTACCAAACACTTGTCATATAAGCTAACTTTTCAACTATGAGCTCGAAAATTTGCATATAAACTATCAGCTAGCTTATCAGCTACTAAACCATGTTCATTCATGTTGTTTGACAGCCAAACCAGCGTTGGATTGGGGCATTAGAAAGAGAATAGCGATAGGGACAGGCAGAGGCTTACTATACCTACACGAGCAGTGTGACCCTAAGATCATCCATAGGGACGTCAAGGCCGCCAACATATTGCTCGACGATGATTATGAGCCAGTAATCGGTGATTTCGGCCTCGCGAAGCTTCTCGACCACACCGACTCCCACGTCACCACCGCAGTCCGTGGTACCGTGGGCCACATCGCACCCGAATACCTCTCCACCGGCCAATCTTCTGACAAAACCGACGTCTTCGGGTTCGGGATTTTGCTCTTGGAGCTTATCACGGGGCAGAGGGCGTTGGAATTTATTAACCACAAAGGAGGAGCAATGCTTGATTGGGTGAAGAAGATTCATCAAGAGAAGAAGCTAGACGTGCTTGTGGACAAGGTTTTGAAGGAGGAGTATGACTCGATCGAGCTTGAGGAGATGGTGCAGGTGGCCCTGCTCTGCACGCACCACCTCCCGAGCCATCGGCCTAAAATGTCTCAAGTTGTGCGGATGTTGGAAGGAGATGGGCTGTCTGAGAAATGGGAGGCTGAGTCAGCCATGTGTCGGCCCAATGATTTCTCGTCCTCCGAGAGATATTCTGATCTCACGGATGACTCGTCGTTGCTCGTGCAAGCAATGGAACTGTCAGGGCCTAGGTGATTGATTGTCTGCTTGAGAACAACAATGGCATCTTTTTTCTTTTCCTTTTTAAGTAAAAGGAGTTGTACGGAACACAAGTCAATAGTGTATTTGCAGAGTTCTATTTCTCTCTTTGGAGTATATAGTTATGTTGAGTGAGATCTTTGTGTGTGTGTTGTCCGTGTATTTGAGGTTGCATGCAACTTGTAAGATTAGT